AAGTGGAAACCGCCTACAAATGGTTTCATTGTGTTAAACACTTATGCAACTTTGGATGAGAAACAAGAGAAGGCTAGATGGGGAATTGTAACAAGGAATGAACATGGGGAAGTAGTATGCACTTGGGCTGGAAATGAAAGCAAGGACATTAAGGCTGAGATTGAAGAAGCGGATGCAATCAGAACTGCATTGACAAAGACCAAACAGGAAGGTTGGAGGAAGGTTATAGTCCAATCAGATTGCAAAAAGGTGGTGGACAAGATTGCAGAGAGTTGTACACTTGATCCTGTGATGGGAACAATAGTTGAGGACATACTTAGTTTTATACAAAATTTCAGTAAATGACATCTTTCCTTTATCAAGAGGGAAGGTAACTATGTTAGTCATCATTTGGCAAAATTTGCCATAATTCTGGTTAAGGAAGTCTGTTAGAGGGATTCTTTCCCTCTCTAGTTAATCAACTTAGCCAGAAACGATGTAGGAGCAATTGCTCCATCCTTGTAATCCTTTGTGTTTGAAATACAAAGCTGTTATCGTTTGGTAAAAAAAAAAAATAGTTATCTCAATTAACTGAAAAAAATTAAGTCTATAGTTAACAATAAAACAAAAGCTGTGTCCACAAGATGCTTAATAGAAAAACAAAATGCCAGAACAGGATAGGCTAGCTCCAGGTAGCATTACATAGAAGAGTTTCGAACAGAATTTGATGGACTAATAGTGACACAATCTCAGGAGCCTCAGCAACCTGTTAGAACATTGAATAAACACACCATTAGATACATTGAAATGAAAAAGATAATACAAGAGAGAAGAAAAAAAGTCACCACAATAAATAGTAGAACAACGAGAAACTGGTTTTCCACTTCTCAATGCTGCTCTGCACATAGTATCACCAGATTCACCACAACTCTACATAATCTTCTTCCCGTTTTGAATAAAGCAGGGCTCTCAACCATTATCTCCAACATAAATCAGACCAGTAAATCCATTTTCCTTTTCCTGGTCCAAGAACTTCCACAAGAAAAAGACTTCAGGCCTCCAAATATGTATTTATATGCTCTATGGTGAACAAGTTCCTGCTACACGACAATTAAAGACGAAATTTGCCATCCTAAACGCAGCAATTGTTTAGCACCAAAACACATGCAATTTGCTGTAACAGAGTGGACAACTATGTTAGTTCTTTAATCATCTAAAGTCAGGATAAAGGGGCACTTCTAAAGAGTTGGATACTGGTACTTATGTATGATGGACATTCTAGGAAATATACAAATTATGTACATCGATTGTTGTTTACTTATTAACGAACAGGGCCATTTTTCCTTGGGAGCTTTTCAGATTTCATTTATACAAGGAAATTTCAGAATTTAGATAGGTCTTCTGTCTCTGTAACATGAAAGTCCTAAAGTTTTCCACTTCACTTCTCTCCTCCCCCTTCAACATCAACATCCACTGACAAAAAAGAAAGTACCCAAAAAATTGTTGAAAGTGTCCCAAACGGATCCCATACCAGTACCGGTGTCAAGTTATGTCGACATGGGTACATTGGGCTAAAACAAAGAGCCGGAGTAACATAGGTGGAAAGGTGATTTTCAGGCAGCTTATTTGTTAGTGTCACCAGTTTGACAAGCATGGTGCAGCTTATACCCCTGATGGCAACAATGGCTTTCACCCTGACAAAATTATACACAACTTGATGACTATGTCTTGGAAAATCTTTTGCATTGCTCAGTCTTCCAAGAAAGATAGATGGTGAAAGTGATAGCTGGAAATTTCAATCACTTAATAAAGCTAACTTCTCTCTTCCTTTCTACCTGGCACATTAGAATCAACATTCCATGCCACGGAACTGGCCATGGAAAAGTTAATGTGTATTAGGAACCAAATATACCCCTCATCTCAACACACATGATTTATTTCTACAGCCGTTTTAAGAGGACAGAAAGCAAATTCCTACAAAAAAACGGTTTCAAGATTATAATCGTGTTTGAATTTACTGATGACAAGAATGATGAATCCAGCTACAGCCTTGCTGAATAATGCCATCGGCGAAACCTCTTCAAACAGGCTTGAGTATCATTCTTCAACGCAAGTATAGATACCAAACCAGTAACATGCCAACTTGCACTCACAGCAGTTTTGTTACCAGCAATTAGCCAGTAGGGTTTTCAGACTTCATTAACATTATGAGTGCTGCTAAAACACTTTTGCAATGAAAGTTGCTAATAAGCAACTGTTAAGAATTGAACTTTGTTCCAACCTCGAAAGGAAAACATATCAGAAACTATACTAGTCAACAACTGTTATTTGCCTTTATCTCTCTCTGCCCCTAACTCAAGCATACTTCCCATTCAACTGAAGTTCAAACTCAATAAAAGCCAAGATTCCCAGGAATACAGCTTATTGTTAAATGTGAGTATTATCCTCAGCTATCTTTTCTCTGGAAAAGCTGTTTAATCAGATTCGTTCCCAGCTGGGGATACAATGTATCTCTACATGCCCCTTGGAAGAGAACTTTTGGCTACAAACCTCAATAGGCCACAACTGTTTTGCAGTTTAGCTCCACTACATGGATAATTTCTTATTTCTTTTTTTTTCAAGTCCTTTTGCCCAGTATCCAGTGAAAAATGAGGCTCATACAAGAAATGAAAGCTGTAACTGGCCAAATCCCATGGTTTTTTCTTCATGCGAGCAGTTGCACTTATAGCCGGTTTGTCACACATCACATAGTCTACTCACTTAATACAACTAAAAAGCAGTCACGAAACACAACTGCTCTTAGTAAAAAAGAAGCCATCCATTTAGCTTGATGATTTCATAAGGTTCAGATTGATGCTTTGACAGAATTTGGTAAACATTCAGGTACAAATGAAAAAACCTAGACAGAAACCTGATGTACTGCAGGTGAACTAAGAGGCTAAATGTGAAAATCATTTATTATCTAGTACAAAAGCACTACATTTGCAATCTTTTCCATTACAACGGAACGATTAGCTTCAATACCTCTGAGGTACAAAATTATCAAAATTTGTTCAGTTGACAGCAGAAAACTAATCAGGCCATTATAGTTAGCACATCTAGAAACAACTTTGGGAGTTAGACGTAATATCAATGAACATTCAAAGGTATCAAAAAGCTAAACACAGATCCACACAAAGCAAAGGAACTAAAAACAAATTCATATACATTGTCTCTAAAGTGGTACTATTCTTTGCCTACCAACTGACCAAAGATTGCAAAACTATGGCATCCTGCAATTAACTTTATGCCAATTATTTTGTGGTTTAGGAACTGTTTAACTTCATCCATTGAATAGAGCAGGAACGCTCTCTGTTTTAAAAAAGGATTACTTTGATTCAGATCTTCAGGGCAGCTATGCATAAGTAAATTCTAAGACCAATAGACCTACACATGATCGTCCCCAACTATGGACTCATCTCCTATAAACTAAATCATCTTGAATAAAACATCTAACTAGTGAAAACTGTGAAATATCTAATCTAAGCACCACATGTTGCCCTTTAACCGATAATCAACAAACTTCTTGGCTGTCTCTTGACTAGATCCCCCAATGTGCAGAATCCTTTATTTCAACCAAAAAGAGGACCTTGAGTGTCCAACTTATTTTGGGTGACAAAAACCATGGGGAGGCAGGCACCAGTGCCTTTTGGCGCATCCTCCTCCCCAACTCTACTGCAGGACCCAACCTGAATCTGAAAAACAGCCAGTGCCCCAGGACAGCACTCTGATGCAGAATTCTGTACCTCAAATTATCAAATAAAACCTACAACATTAAACAGAAACCAAAGCTTCCCTGACATAAGTGAGAAAAATCCACAAGTGCAAGAGATAATATTTCATGCATTATGGAATCAATATTTTCTTTCCAGTCAAAATATTTCGCAGAGAAAACCTATTGCTTGAAAAACAAACTTTTGCGAAAAAATCTACAAGCACAATGTTGGAAATAATGTGTTCAATGCATATGAACCTCAATATCCACAGACAGACATTGAAAGAATCCAAACACACAAGGAGAGTTACCAACGCAAATCAACAAAACTGAAGCAAAATTCCAACCAACAAAAGTAAGGTACAAAAGAAGGATATAAGCTTTATCACAAAGAACCACATAAATGAGCAATGCAACACTCTTGAGTCTTGACAGATACAGAAATTCACTGAGAAACTCATAAACTTGAATTAAACCACATTCGATTGAAGAAAACGTAAATAACCAATTAAAAACTAAAACAAGAAAAATCCTTGACTAATACTCCCTCTGTTCCATTGACACTGTCATATTTTCCTATTTGTAACTTACAAAAATTGGCTAACACATTTGCATTCAATTCCTCCATTTACCGTTCAAACACTCCCTAAAAGTCCAATGCATGTGTCTTTTCATGAGCCCACAGATTATTACCAACGAAACTAAGACAACTTCTTTTGTAGTACGCGCTAGTTGGCATTAAGAAACTAAAGCCATTAAGTGTTCGCAATCATATCTGCGATTGGCTCCACGTTTCTTTATGTCTTAATACAACACTTAAAGCTCTTCAATTTTCAAATTCTATCCACTCTTCATAAAAATTACAATTCCCGAAGTGCAATAAATTTTATGGGATGAAGCGAGTAATTCTCAACAGCAGACCAAAACTGCCATTAAATTGTCTATTATAAGAGTCATTAGCTCATACATTGCAAGCACTTCAACCAAAAATTACATTTCTATGCCAAAAACCCCATTCAGAGATAACCTTAAGACTGTCAAAACATAGAGATTAAAAATCGTAAAGACTGTCAATTTAAAAAACTAAAGCAAACCCACTTAACAAAACCTATCCAACCGTCACCCAAGAAAACAAAATTTTATTTACCTTCCCTTAGATTAAACCAAATAAAACTTGAAGCCCAGAAAAATGTCAAAAAGCCTCCAAAAAATCCCCAGGTAAAATCATCCAAAATAGAACTCAAAGAAAAAACTAAAAAATAATTACCTTTAGATCAAGCATTGGCAGTTTGAGGAATAGGCTGCGCCGCTGGGGAGCCTTGTTTTTATTGGGCTTCGGCTTCCCGGATCTTCTGCATCCGTTCCATGACAAGCTCGTACTCGCGCTTCTTACCTGCTTGATTGATTAACAAATTGATAAGACCGAAACAAGTAATCTATGTGCATATGCCGCTCATATGCTCTGCCTAATCAATTATACATGTAAACAAAATTCACCGCTCGAGGTGAAGCAAAAATCAAGAGTCGGCCTTGTTTGGATTCCCATTTCTTCCCAAAAAATTTTACACTTTGCGTTAATGCAGCTTTCAATCACTTTTTTTTCACCTCATGTGTATCGTATAGTTATAATCTATTTTTTCACAAAAACTCCAGAAAATAGTATCCAGACGGGCTATTTGCGATCTCAAAAGCAGCAGTCAAAATGACTGAAGCTCTAATAGAAAGGCCGCCAGAGTTGCTCCAAATTAACCGGTCCATATCCGCTGCTAGTACAGCAATGATACTGAAAGATGAAGTTGCAATCTTGCTGCTGCTGCTAGTCTTCTCATTGAAATTAATGTCTTAGCATCCACAGAATTTTCTCAAGTACCCCACAGCTTTCTCTTCACAGCCTCGACCACAATTGCCATGGTCCCCGCAGCTCTCCACTGCTCTCTTTTCTCATGGCAGCCACCAGGGTGATAGACTGATAAACCCAAGAATCTTTTTCTATTTTGCTAGCTTCCAAGAAATAATTTCAAGCAGGAATTTGTCCCTTTCCTTACCTGCCTCCAAAAAAAATTATAGAAATTATTCTTTGGAGTATGGGAGTATAGTATAATTTGAATCAGTCTAAAGACTTGGCTTTTCCGACTTGGCAAGTCCACGCAGGAGTTTACAGTGACGGAGCCATCCTCGCTTCATTTTCCAAGGACCAATAATTCCTCCCACCTCATCCTGCTAATCCTACACCAGCTTTAAACCTATCATCTCCATCGATGTAGGAGTAATCTTTGTTTTTTGGGGTACCCTCTTAATTTTGCTCCAATGTTTACTCTTCTTGTATACCTCTCCTTTCTCTTCAATCTCTTGTTCATCATCACTTCCAGCGATACTCCGCCTTACAGCCCCATAGATTACATCCTGATCAACTGCGGATCATCCTCAAACGCAAACTCAACCGATGGCCGGAACTGGTACGGCGACGCCGGCTCAAAATTCACCCCTAAAGACATGGCGAATATATCATCAGCTGTCACAGCCACCGAGCAAGCCCCTTCGGTCTCCGGAGTCCCTTTTTTAATTGCCCGTATCATTCGTTCTAATTTCTCCTATACCTTCCCTGTCTCTCCCGGCAAAAAGTTCGTCCGCCTTTACTTCTACCCGGCCTCCTACTCCAGCAACTTCAACGCAAATGAATCTTTCTTCGCTGTCATGGCTAATAACTACACCCTTCTGAGCAACTTTAGCGCATTTTTAACAGTTTCCGCCGGGGGATTCTCACCTGCCTACGTCGTTAAAGAATTCATCATTAATGTTGAGGCGATGAATCAATTCCTCAACGTTACCTTTTTGCCCTCTACGCAGTCCTACGCGTTCATTAATGGAATTGAAGTTGTTTCAACCCCGGACGGACTCTACATGGGCAACCATGATTTGTCCAGTAATCCCCTCAAAGACGTGGATTATTCCAACATTCAGTTCGAGTTTGATCAGAACGACACTGCCTTCGAAGCTCTTTACAGGCTTAACGTCGGAGGAAATGATGTTTCTGCGTTAGCTGATAGTGGGATGTTCCGAGGGTGGGTTCCCGATGACAACTTCATCTGGGGCGGAGATCAAGGGAATCCATTGAGCAATAATCAAATTGCTGTCAAGTACACTCAGCAAACCCCAAATTACACTGCGCCAGCGATAGTTTATACTACCGCAAGGGCGATGGGCAAGTTTAGCACCCGATTCAACTTGAGCTGGACGTTCTCTGTTGATTCTGGGTTTAATTATCTCCTGAGATTGCATTTTTGCGAGATTACCCCTGATTTGATTTCACAAGAGAACCAACGGGTGTTCAGGATATTCATCAGTAACAAAACAGCTGAGCTAGAGGCTGATATTATAACTTGGACCGGCGGCACCGGAATCCCGGTTTTCAGAGACTACGTCGTGTTCGTTCCACACCCACCGGATGGTCGCCCGAGCAAGCAAGGCTTGTTTCTTGCTCTGAACCCAAATCTCGACGTCAAGCCGAAGTATGCTGATGCAATCTTGAATGGTTTAGAATTGTTCAAATTGAACAACAGCGACGGCAGTCTTGCCGGGACCAATCCTGATCAGCCGCCGGATCCCAATTCCCCGATGCCAAACAGCAAGTCACCGAAAAAGGGGAGAGCTGTAAAATCTCGGGTACTTTTTCCTATCGTGGGAGGGGTGGTCGGAGGGGCTGCCTTGGTTTTGGTCATCGGTTTGATTTCCCGGCGGCTAAGGAGACGGGTAAAAGATTTTGACCAGAAAAGTGCTTCAAAGTCATCCGGGGTCCAACTTTCAACCACGTCCAGGTCATCAAAGGCAACAAGTGCATCGAGGTCTTCGTCACTGCCGCTGGATCTTTGCCGAAGATTTTCCCTGGAGGAGATTATCTTTGCTACGGCCAACTTCGATGCTAAGTTTGTGATCGGAACCGGAGGATTCGGAAACGTGTACAAAGGGTACATCGACAATAGTCTAACCACAGTTGCTATTAAGCGATTAAATCCTTCGTCAAGTCAAGGGGTCCGCGAATTTCGAACCGAGATCGAGATGCTGTCGAATCTAAGGCATCTTCATCTGGTATCCCTGATAGGTTACTGTGATGAGAAGGGAGAGATGATCTTGGTTTATGATTACATGGCCAATGGCACCCTCCGCGACCACCTCTACAAAACAGATAATCCACCCCTCCCGTGGAAGCAACGGCTTCAGATTTGCCTCGGCGCAGCCAGAGGGTTGCATTATCTCCACACCGGCGCCAAGCACAGCATCATCCACCGGGACGTCAAGTCAACCAACATATTGCTGGACGAGAAATGGGTGGCTAAGGTTTCGGATTTCGGTCTGTCCAAGCTAGGCCCCAGCGGTGGAATCCACAGCCATGTCAGCACGCAGGTGAAGGGGAGTTTCGGCTACGTAGATCCGGAGTATTACAAGAGACAGCAGTTGACGGAGAAGTCGGACGTGTACTCGTTCGGGGTGGTTTTGCTCGAAGTGCTGTGTGGGCGGGGAGCCATTATTCCCAACTTGCCCAAGGAGCAGGTGAATTTGGCGGAGTGGGGCAAGAGGTATTACGCAAAAGGGATCATCCACCAAACTGTAGACCCTCACATGAAGGGCGAGATTGCTCCTGAGTGTTTGAGGAGCTTTGCTGAAACAGCGATCAACTGTTTGAAAGATCAGGGGATTGAACGACCCGGAATGAATGATGTAGTTTGGAGCCTCGAATTCGCGTTGCAGCTTCAGGAGGCGGCTGAAAATAAGAGCGGTCGACGTCCATTTGCTTTCCGTATGCATGGGTTGGGAAGAGATGAGCAAGCTACGACTGAGGATGATGAGGATGTGTTCTCAGACTCGGGAGTTGAGAAAGATTCTGCCGCCCTGATGAAGAGCCGTAGTATTACGACCGGGACATTCACGGCCAGTAGTGACATGTTAAAGTCTGATAATGTTTTCTCCGAGATCATGAATCCCACCGGCAGGTGAGGATTGTAATCAACAGATTAAACCTCCAAAAATGGACGTGGGATATTCATGTCTCGGGAGTCTAGCGTGCTTTGTCCTTGTGCTATTTTTTTTTTTTTGTCTGTATTGGGCAACCTATTTGTAATGCCAAGATAGTATATTTTCGGAAATGTAATATTAATTAAGAAAAGTAAATAAATATTGGGAGTGTTTTTGAAAATGTAAAATCAATTTAAAAAAGTAAATAAATACGATAGAAGGTTAGTAAGATAGATGGGAAAAGTATTAAAATGCAAGGGAAGGTGATAATTCATGCCTTAGGAGTCCAGCGTGCTATGTCCTTGTGCATTTTTTTTTTTTTTTTGTATTGTGCAACCATTAAGATATATTTGTGGTGTTAAAATATATTTTTGAAAATGTAAAATTAATTAAGGAAAGTATATAAATATGAGGGAGCATTTTTGGAGATGTATGATTAATTATGAAGAGTAAATAAATACAAGAAATGATTGGTAAGATTAGATGGGAAAAATATTAAATGCAAGGGAAAGTAATAACTATTAGTATGTGTATACATGATAGGTTAGATGAATTTTAAATATCTTAATAAAATAAAAGTACCTAATGGATATGGGTACCCATTTAAAAAAACCCTTTCTTAAATATTTTTTCTTGCGAAGTCAATAAGTATAATATGGCGCGGTTTTCAATAACCAATATGACTCTAGTCAAAGGTGCAACTTTTCAGACACGGTCCATTCAACTGATCATCGATGTAAAGATAATTCAATTACTCATTACTATATTGGTTATAGTTGTCATACACGCGATAAACAACCAACCTTTCCTTACTTTTTTCGATAGTCAAGGTACGACCGTTAACTATTTCTCTAATTAAGAAATAACCTAGATACGATCATATGATTTAAATCCTCAATTGCATTAAAAATTAGAAAAACTCAACCCTAACTAACAAACGCGCTACGAGAGTTTGTTTAACTTAGATCATACGCTTTCCTGACATGAAACCAATCACGCTAGTCGCCACTGGTATTAATCAATAGAACAATTACGGATTCAATCAATTAATATGACAGTAGATTATTAGGTTAATTCGAATATCGGACCTTTGACATTCAAATAACAAAACAATCATAAGGAATTAAACCAGAAAACGTACAAATACCAATGAATAAAAGAAATAAGTAAAATAATTCGATCTCACAGATATTTGGAACCGCGTCTTCAAATTAACCCTTGATTAAAAAAAGGAGTTCGTTCATCTTCATGGAGAAAATCTCATGCAAAATTGCAGAAGTAATTATCGAAAACAAAGCTCTGTTCCAGTCGTTCTAATAGAAGAGACGGAAAATAAGAAAACAAAGAAACGGCAAAACGAAGCCAGCCCACTAGAATGAAAATTGTCCTAGTTAAAAACAATGGAGTTTGTTTGGATAAGAGTTTATTTGGATAATTTATTTGAAATAATTACTGTAGCATTTTTTGTGATGTGATATATATTAGATAAAAAGGTGATTAAAATTTGTGAAGTAAATTTTTTTATTTGAAATCAAAGCAATCCAAACAAACTCTATAATGACTAACTCCTTTTCCCTATGTGGTCCCTATCGGATAAGGAAAAAGCCAAACAAAAAGGTTCCAGCACTACCGAAGTTCCCTTGTATTTCGTTTCCTATTGCTAGTAGACTAACTAGTACAAGGCAACTCTTCATCAGCAAAAGGGGATGAAGTCCGTTTCTTAGCACCATGTGGGCCCGATTTGTGGAGCTTTTAGAAGCCTCCCACGTGTGGAGCCTTTTACCTCAAGATGGTATCTCTTTTTTGTACCTTTCTGCTCCACTTCCTGAAATTGAGTCTAAATACCAAATATAAATATATGTTAATAATTAAAGCAATATTTGACAAGGACAAAGGGGGAAATTAACAATAAAATTACTAACAATTAACACCCTATCAACAAGAAGGGGTGCGAAAGAGAGACTAGACAAAATTTTAAGCAACAAGGAATAGAGAGCAAAACAAAGGAAAGCTAAGTGTAACCATATCCAAAATGAAGCCTTAGATCATTGTATGTTATCACTTGACACAAAACCAAGAGAAAGGGAATGGCAGAAAAAGTTTTATTTTGATAGAAAGTGGCTTCAACAAAAGGAAGTTGAAGGTGTAATCAAAATAGTATGGAACAAGTAGCAATTGGGATCTAGATTCTTTAAACTCCAACATAGAATTAAAGAGTGCAGAATTGACTTGCTTAATTGGAATAGGACATTGAACATGATGCTAAAAAGGAGATCTAGGATTTAAAGTTGCAGATTAATGACATGCAAAATGGAAGGTTTCAAAATAGGAAAGCAAAAATTTTTGAGCTGAAAAGAAAATTAATAGAAGCATTCAAAAAAGAAGAGATGTTTTGGGAACAACATGCAAGAATTAATTGGTTAAAAGAGGGGGATAAAAATACAAGCTACTTCCATGCTGTAGTTTAAGGGAGAAGGAAAAGGAGTAATATTTCAACTCTCCAGAAGAAAGATGGGAACTGATGTGCTACTAATAGCAAAATTGAAGAGGAGATTTCAAGTTATTTCCAGAAGCTTCTCACTTCTATCTATCTAGGGCAATTTGATACAATCTTACAAGGCATTTCACCATCAATTACAAGTCAAATGAACTCAAGGTTAACCAGACCTATTTTTGAACTAGAGATTAAAAAGGCAGTTTTCTCTTTACACCCTAATAAGGCACTAGGGCCGGATGGTATGACTCCAATCTTCTTTCAAAGGTTCTAGTATATTATTAAGCAAGATTTGATTGCAGCTATTAATAGTTTCTTTCATAGAGGTAATCTCTAAAAAGTGTTCATGAAATAGCTATTACTTTAATTCCAAAGATCCAGCCTCCCTTTTTGGTTTCACAATTTAGACCATAAGTCTCTGCAATATAGTGTACATAATCCTTTCTAAAATCTTGTTAACAGATTCAAACCTTTTTCTGAAACATTGTACAAGTCTTAATCAATTTGCTTTTATTCTAGGTAAACAAATCATTGACAATGTAGTGATTGCTCATGAATTTGTGCACTGTTTAAATGGAAGAAGAACTGGATCTTATGCTTTCATGGATATTAAACTAGACATGTCTAAAGTTTATAATAGAGTTGAGTGGCTTTTTCTTGCCAAAATTATGAAAAAAAATGGGCTTTGTCAAGTCTGGATTCACTGGATCATGTCTTGTGTTACTTCTGTTAGTTATATTTTTAATATAAATGGGGAGAAGAGAGGATATCTTAAGCCTATTAGAGGATTGAACAAGAGGATTCTCTATCCCCTTATCTTTTTCTTTTAGTTTGTGAGGGCCTTTTTAGTCTATTGAGATCATCCAAGAATAACAAAAAAAATTTCTAGATTGAAAATTGCTTCTGCTAGTCCTGCTTTGTCCCATTTGTTTTTTTTTTTTTTTTTTTTTTTTTGCAGATGATACCATAATTTTCTGCAGAGCAACTAAAGAGGAGGCAAAAGAGGTGACACAGCTGCTTAAGGTGTATGAAGATGCTTTAGGTCAAATCATCAACACAGACAAATTATTTGTCCCTCTCAGTAGAAACACAAGGAAGACGGGAGAAAGAAAGTGCTGGAGACACTTGGGGCTATGCAACAAGTCAAGCAAGGAAAGTATTTTTAGGAGGCAAGTGTTCAACTATATTAAGGATAAAGTTTTAAACAAACTGAATGGCCAGAAAGAGAAAATGCTTAGGGTCTGTTTAATAACATTAAAAAGTGCTGAAACTGAACTTTTTCAGACATTCAGATATTTTGAATGTTTGATAAATGAAAATCCATCTGCTGAACTTGTTAAGCAGTGCTGAAATTGTGTGTATTTTTTTCAGCACAAGAATCCTAACTGAATGCTTAATTCTGATAAGAATTAATAGAATTATTTCAACTACCTTATCTTATCTATTAAATCTACCATTGTTTGTTAATTATATTCAAAATTCTTATCTAATTAAACAACCTAATATTTTCTATCTAAGGGTTTTTTATTTCTCTTTTCTCCCTTTTTAATGATTTTCACATCTTCTCCATACTCCTCATATAACATATTTCATCTTTTATATTAATTTGATTTAAAAATAAATATTTTCATTTTTATACCTAACAATTTTAAGCTAATTAAATCATAGGTTCTATTTCTTTTTTGGATGAAAAGATATAAGGGCAAAATTATCAAATTTAACTTATTAAGCATTCAGTAATAAATGTTTTCAAACAGTATAAATATGTTTAGTATTAAAATTCAGATATTTATATATTTCTTTTTAGTACTTAAAATTCAATAAATTAATTATTTCAGTATTCAGATTTTAGAATTCAGACTTTAGAATTTAAATTCAGTTTTATCAAACGGAACCTTACACAGGTAGGGAAGGAGCTCCTAATGAAATCAGTTATTCTAGCCATACCTACCTATGCTATGGCTTGTTGTAGACTTCCAAAAGGTCTATGCATCAATGTTTTGAAAATCGGACCAGATCGGCCAGTTCGACCGGTTGAACCACGAACCGGCCATGGCAACGGTCCGGTTCAATGTCATAGTTGACTTTGTCAGAAAATCGGTCAAGAACCGGTCGAACCATAAAAATCGCGATTGAACCGGTTTTCAACCTTCCTCTTATTTTTTTTTATTTTTTTTGTTGCAAAATACAGCTATCAAGATTCGAACTCAAGACCTTTGTAATAGAAGACCAATATATTAACCGTTGCACCATCACATCTTATTAGTTTTTTTTGATAACTTATTTATATAAAACAAACACTTATATTTTTTTTCCATTTTTCTTACAAAATCTTATCCTCTCATGGCTCTTTCTTTTTAATTTTCAACTCTCTCTCTCTCTCTCTCTATCCTCTTTTTTTTTTCACTCCCTTTTTAATTAAACCTCTTTATTTTTAATTTATTGATGTTTTCTTCCATCTTTTAATTTGGTTTTTGTCCATTAAATTGAAAAAAGTTAAAAAAGAATTATTTTTTTAACCCAAATTATTTAATGTTACAACCACTCACTTTTATCTCATTTTTTGTTTCTTATCAAGTTTACATTTCTATTTTCGATTTTCTTGACTTCCTTCGAATTCCAAACTTTCTTTTTTAAATTGCAATCTCTAAAACGTAAATTAAAATTTAAGTTCACAATATCTAAAT